GTGAGTTTTTACATTTTAATCTAGTAGTTTTGCTTGAGATTTTCTCCATCTACTATGTCACTTTTAAAATCTGTGATCTGAAGTCTGTGTGTATCTGTTGTTCCCTCTGGTTCTTCTTCATGTTGTCTTGTTTCCTTGTGTGCCTGGTTTCTGTTGACTACTTGCCAGGTTTTGCTCTTGAAAGCATTCTGGAGAGATTCTCTGGGGCTTAAGGTAGATGTGCCTACCTCAAACCAGGTTCTTAGCATGAAGCTCCTTTTCCAACTCAGGCCATGAATGTAAATACTTGGTGCAAATCTGTGTCAGAGTTAGTCTATGGCCGCAACTTTCCCCCTTTTCCTTTTCCCTTGCTTCTCTGTTTGGCTCTGAGAGGCCTTCTTTTTTGTTCCTTGGGACTGGGGGAGGAGAAGGAGCAGCATCTTTGGCTCTGGTTCACTCTTCACACTGAGGGCGAGCCCTTCAGATTTCTAACATGATATGGAGAAAATCTCCTCTGAGATCGATAGAGAAGATCTCCTCCTCCTCTGAGACCCTCTGCCTTAGGAGGACCCCCAGAGCATTCACAGCTGTGGTGCTCCAACATTCTGCTTTCCCCTCTGTTGCAGGATTCCATCTGAAAATTGTCCTGGGGGATCCCCTTTGTCTTTTTAGCTCTTCAGTGAATTTGAGATGAATTTTAAAGTATTTTACCTAGCATTTTTCAATGGAAGGGGTGGTCCAAATAGCCCAACCTGCTGTTACCAGAAACTAGAAGGTGGTGTCCTAATTAAATCTTGACTCTCACTACTTGATCCACTTGAGACCCTGGGATGAATTCACTTCACCTTCGGTTTCATTATCTGTAAAATGAAGACAATAATAATATGTATACTTCATGGGGCTGTGTGAAGATTAAGTGAATCCACTCGATGTGCTTGATTCAGTACCTGTCACATGGGAATGCTCAGTAAATGCCAGCTTCCTTCTGATCACCAACACTGCTATGACCATCACTGCATGAACATGGCCAATGTCGCTGTATTATGTCATCTGTATAGGTTTCATTCTGGGTAAAGGTAATTTCCCAGGACAAGAACAGCCCAGGTGGGAAAAATGTTCAGGAGATAAGAACAGTCATTTTGATGCACTTTCTTTTTAAAAGACTTTATTTATTTATTTGAGAGAGAGCGAGAGAGCGCGTGTGCGCATGAGCAGGGGGAGGGGCAGAGGCAGAGAATCTCAAGTAGACTCCATGCTGAGCATAGAGCCCAATGCAGGGCTCCATCTCACGACCCTGAGATCATGACCTGAGCTGAAATCAAGAGTCAGACACTTCGCTGACTGGGCTACCCAGGTGCCTCTTGATGGACTTTCTGATCACAAAGCACAAATATTTGGGTAAGATTTTAATTTTAAAACTATTCATAATAATGTCAAACTTTTATATTTGATCAAAATATTATAATAATAAACAAACCACAATGACTGAACAATGGGTTGAAGTTTTAGGGACTTCTATGTTTAAAATAGACTAAAATTTTTAGTAATTAGAATATCTGAGAAATGGTTTAATGTGAGCCCCCAAAGCCTTCTCAATTTCTCTTGTAATCCTGTGGGATGAGGTCTTTTTAAAATGTAGCTGAAAATCGGGTGCCTGGGTGGTCCAGTCGGTTAAGCGACTGCCTTCGGCTCAGGTCATGATCCCGGAGTCCCGGGATCGAGTCCCACATCGGGCTCCCTGCTCGGCGGGGAGTCTGCTTCTCCCTCTAACCCTACCCCCTCTTGCACTCTCTCTCTCACTCTCTCTCTCTCTCAAATAAATAAATAAAATCTTTAAAAAAAAAAAATGTAGCTGAAAATCTTTCTTGCTTTGGCTTACAGTGTCTACCAAACCTAAATATCTGCCCCTAAAATATAGTATGTTCTTGGACTTGCCACTCCACTTTCCGATCTTGTTGGTCAATGAGGAGGTTGGACCAGATGAGTTTCCAAGTCTCCTACAAGTTCCACCCCTTAACATGCCCATAAGTTGTTAATTAGTATTATTTTTTCATGACTTAGGATCTTAAGAAAGCTGCCCTGTCTTTGTCCTAGTTACCATTTTCCTATACCTTATACTTTAGATTACAGAAGAATGAAAGTGAGATTGCACATGCAGGGCTATTTCTTTGCTTTACTTTCTTTTCAATATTTGGCAGCCTAGTTGACTGTGTTTGCGTAATTTGGGGGTCTTCTATACCTTATAATGCAACTGAGATACTTAATATGAAAAGTTAAATGCTCTGCTTATAATTAGTAAATAAGTCATTCTGGGAAGGCAGCTTTCATGAACTAAATCATTCATTTAGCCCTGTGTGAAGGACCAGATATAGAGAATGAGAGAATAAACCCTGCCTCCCCGAAGATCACAACCTAGATTGGGAGAGACACAGACATAATTTGGACATAGTGAGAGGCACAGCAGTTAAAAGTTTAGTCTCTGCAGACTGATGACTTAGGTCTGAATCCTGACTCCGCCACTTACTATATGTATGAACTTGAGTAAGTTACTTAACTTTTCTAGCCCTGTTTTTTCAGCTGTAAGATGAGAATGACATTACTTACCTGATAGAGTTGTTGTAAGGATTTAAAGCATTTATATATGTAAAAGTTTAAAAGGGTGACTGGTGCATGGGGTTAAATATTAGCTATTACGAGGGTATCATACCAGCTGACCTCTAACTGTATATTCCCACAACTTGTTATTTGTCCTCTGCCCCACATCCCGACCCCAACAATGTCACATTATCTTGTATTTCTAAGTCTTTGCTCATCCCTCCATAGTGATCTCTTTTAGTAAGTAATCCTTTTCACATACTGTTAAATCATCAAATTCGTACACTGTATCCCTTCTTACTTGAGTGGTTCTGCCGTAACCTGGCTAATAGCATGGAAGGTGCCCAGTAAATACTGGTTGATTAACCGAAGGTACTCAGTGTCAGATACAGCTTTCACTGGCATAGACCAGAGGCTGGCAAACTTTCTCTGTACACAGCCAGAGCATAAATATATCTCCCTCTGTGGGCCATATGGTCTCTGCTGCAACTGTCACAGCGACTCCACTCTGCCCCTGCAGCGCCAAAGCAGCCAGAGACAATACGCAAACAAAAGGGCATGGCCAGGTTCCAATAAAACTTCCGTTTCTTACCTAATTTTTTAATTTTGAAATACTTATTGATTCACAAGTTGAAAAAAATATATACAGGGAAGTTCTGTGCACCCTTCACCCCTCAATGGAAGTTCTATAATACAATACCATGGTATCTCAGGCAGGGATTAAGACCCGTAACAGAATGATGTTATTTCCATCTTCTCCTACTCCCAACCTCTGATCTCACACCAATCAGGTAAGTATGTGGCCAACGAGAGTCTGCTGAATTGAGCGAAGCTCACTATCAGCCTGTCACTCTGGGCTTTCTAGGTCTCTTACGCTTTTTACAGCTTGAACTATAAAGCTGGTGACTAGAATTCACTCACCCAAGAAGCAAAGCAATTTTAGCTGTGCCAATCTGAGCTAACATTTCATAATTTTAATCCTCACATATTCAATTAACAGATGGACGCATCACATTCATCCATTAACCAAAAGGAAAAAAGGTAATTTCTTTAATGTACACCTGGGAAAGACAACTGTAATCTAGATTTGTACATTCAAACATAATGCAATTTCATTATTAGAGCAATTTAAAGCTACTAAAAACATGATGGGTAGATGAAAAGTTGTTTCATTTATAGTAGTTTTGTTTATTTTTAAATCACAGTGGTCCATAATTCTTTCAAAGACTGAAATTGTGGCATTTGGTAGGGATTTATTAATTGTAAAAGTGGCTCACCAATCTCAGCTAACCTGGTGGGGCCAAGAGGGTGATTATGTTTTATATAAACAAATATGATGGCTTTAGAGGTTAATTTTTTTTCACATTACCTAGAAAAAGGAGAAAGAATGAATTTTCTTTAAAAACCAGGCAAGACAAAAATGAACTATTCTGGTATCTCAATAAGAAAAAAAAAGGGCTTGTACTGTTCTGAGAATAATATCCAGAGTTCCATCCATATTAACATCTTTTTATCAAGATAATATATGAACTGAGATTAAGAGCCAGGGTTCCATCCATGCTAATATTGTTTAACTTCCTATAAGACTATTGGAAGTAAAACAGACTAACTGAATAAATCCAGAATGCTCATTTAAAAAAAAAAAAAAGGCCTTCAGGTGTTAAAACAAAACTTGGTTCCAAAAATGACACTTGATAACCTCCCTACTTGTCTCTCCTGACCACCCACTATTGAAGTGACTGTGGAAACTAATAAACAAAAGATTTGTGCCCCAAATAACTTCCCTTACTTAAAAGGTAGGAAAAAGAAAAGGTCGAAGCCAAGTCTACACTGGGTCTTTGAAACAGTTCTATGCTTCTAATTTTTATATGTGGTGAATTTATTTCAGAGGAATTAATAAGTTATCTTACGACAGGCATGAACCCAACAAGTATACAGAATAAAGATGTACAAGTTCGAAAGAAAATTTCCTGCCTAACCTTTACGTTCAGAGATCCATAAGTAAGAGTTGGTTGTGTCAAAAATTTAATTTTGATCAGGTGACAAAGCGTGTTTGTATTCCTAGGAAAAATAACCAATCTTATTGACTGATATTTTGGGATACTTGGGGGTTAATTAAATAAGCAATGTGGGAAAGTGGTCAATGTGCTATAAGGTGCAATTTTTCTGTAGGATTAAACTTCAAAACTCAGCAATTTCACACTCGAACCAACTAGTTAAGTCAACTAAGCAGATAAGTTGGCAGCTCCTGTAAAAACCCCAATGCCTTTTAGAAGGATTTAAAAATCGGATCATGACTGGATTGACTTTGTAATTTATGATCTGTTAGGATAAAGCTGTTGAATTAATTCAAGAATTCTACATTACCAAGTACATAAAGATAAAGATGTTGGTTTTAAATGCTATTTTTGCATAAGTTTACTTACCGCCATATAAGCATTTGTTCCAACATACGTCTTGGCTATAGAATTCACCAGCTATGAGACAAAACAGTCTGTTAGAACAATATAAAGATAATGTGGAAATAAAATGGGCAATTATTCCTCATTTAACCTACAATCATCATTTCTATAAATCAACTAAAAATTATGTAAAAGGGAACAAATTTATCTACAAAGGCATTAAAAATGATTAAATCTCTCTTTTCTTTTGAATGTGATTTCCAATTTAAACAAGCACAGCATTACAGTTTATAGCAGATAACCTTAAACAATTCACTTAAGCAGGATGCTTATTGCTTTAGTACCCCAAACCCGCCTGATATAAAAAGTCAATTTGAAGTAGAATTTGAACACACTCATTTTTTAGTCAGATGGCTCAGGATGTGAATGAAGCCTGTGCATTACTAGAATGGAATGAACACTAAATATGCTGGAGGGATAACAGACTTTGACAGCCCATAATACAACGATGACCTTCGCTTTGGTCTTCGTGTTTGGCTGGGAGTAAAGGTGGCTGCAATTCAAATCAACATCACAGCACGCTCATGGGTCACTATCACCGGGGTTCTCAGGGGAGGCCCAAAATGGAAATTAATTAAAATTTGTGCTGCACATTGTAATGGCCCTCCACCATTGTTGCTCCCAATATTAATTTTTATTGTGGGCCAGTTGGGCTCCCCAGGCACAGCTCCCACTCTGCCCTCCCTTTTGTCTGGTCAAAACGCTTTCATATCAAAGCTGCATATCAATGAAGTTTGCTATTCGTAAGTAGTAATTACAATATCAGCAGTTTTTACTGTCATTAAACAATGAACAATCATATTCTGATGAAGGAAACTCGCTCGGAGATTAAAAATGAGTAACAGACTCCCAGACGAGGAGAAGATGCAGAGGTCTGTTTGTCTGGCAGCTAGGTGATTTTTCAATCCAAAAAGTAGACTGAAAATAAAAAGTGAATGCTGCAGAAAGGAGAGCAAACGGGGGGGAAAAAAAGAGACCTACCTGAGTGCTAACTCCAAAATCGCACAGCTTGACCTGTCCTCTTGTGTTTACTAGCATATTGGAGGGCTTCACATCTAAAAAGGGACCAGAAAAGTCCACGTAACTAATTCCGGATCTATAGCGCCATGTTTTAAAAAAAGCACACATGCACACCATACCATATTGCAGAAATGACATCATCTGTTCAACCCGGAATTCTAATCACAAATTTAACGCAAAGCATTTTATCTGGAGGCAAAATGCAAGGTCCTAACTCCTTTACTTCCAACCATTTCTGGTTTCTATGGAAGCAAGGGTTCATTTCAAGTGAAAGTCAAATAAAATCTTGGCTTCCCACAACAGTAAATACATCCATCATCCTATCCCCAGGCTTTCAGGAGAAGTAGGTGGATAAGAAAATGTAATCTTCTTGCAAAGAATTTGCACAAAAAGGTTTAGCTTTGCTGTCGATGTGAAACTATTCCTCCCATTTAAGAAGCAGTAAGGCCAAAAGGAAGCCAACAAGAAAAAAATCATTCCTATGCTGCTGGTAACAGGTCATATCTGAATGAAAAAGGACAAAAAGAATGCAGTCTTGTTATCTTCCTGGTTTTATGTGACAAACGCTGTTTCAGATAATCCTCAGAAATTGGTCTAAAAGGCATGTGGATGTGTGTGCATATATGCACGTACTGATCTTTGTTTCATTTCTCCTTCTCTTCCCTTACATCACTTTTGACTGCTGTTATAGTTAACAAAAGAAGTGACATAGCTTTTGCCAAGGCAGTCGGTTGCAAATAATGACACAAAGGGTTTCTGTGAAGCATCGTCAGTGACAACAATGAACCATTTCAGGAATTCAGGGAGCCCACAAAAACCATCCGAGCAGGACAAGAGCGCGCCACTGTTGATGGTACAGAATAGCACCTGCTTCAGTGTCTCATCTTCAATGGCAAAAGTGGTCTGGAACAGACAACTTGTTATATTTAATATAGCCGTAACCTGAATTACCCCCAAACTGAACAAGAGACTCAATTTTTTATGCGACATTAAAAAATATGTGAGTTAATCCACCCCAATCTTCCATTTTGCAAAAGGTACACCAACAAAAGTATCTTGCCAATAGCAGGTACTTAATTTAAACTTCAAGTTCAAACTCAGTAACCAACAACTATTGAAGCCTACTTCCTATGTGATAGGCGATGTGCCAGGCACTTTCTCATACATGTGCTCATTTCACGTTGCCTGACTGACACGAGAATGTAAATGCCAAGAACGCAGGGACTTTGTTTCTTTTATTGACTACTATATTCCCAGCCCCTAGAAGAGTTTCAGGGCTATAAGTGCTTAATAAATATTTGTTGAACAGATGAGAGAATAAACGAACGGAAACCATACACACAAAGTATGATTTGATGTTGATCATTGTTTCAGTGATCAGGGGTAGGCTATAGAACAGGTCTCAGCAGCAGCACGCCCTTCACACAAGACATACTATATACTTCCTTTAGGGGCACTCTCTGGATACAAGTTAGGATGCCTAGGCTGGTATACGTTCTTTTACCAGCTAGTCTCTCCGTCTCCAACTTTCCTCAATTTGAATTATAAATCTTATACCACCATCATATTAAAATTACCATGTTTACTATGTCATCTCTCTCCTGGATGAGGAAATAAAATAGTCCCTGACCTCTGCTAACCTAAACGTGAACTCCGAGTTAGCCCGATACATAGGTATTGTAGATAGCCACAGTAGATACTCAATAAATGTTTGGTGAACTGAAAGAAATGTTAGACTCCACATAGGCTGGTCTTATTTTCCAAATCCAATTCTCATTATAGGCCCTCAACTTTGAGTATTTTTCTTTTGGACAACCTGCTCTTTTATATATTGACAGCTTTAAACCACTCTTAAGCTACCACATCAGGTGGAGACAGTTAATAAGCAAATATTTTGAGCTCCCGGAAGAAGGAGCTGCCTGGAAATCACGAGGTACGCCAAAATTAACAAATCTTTAGCTTTAATCAGATACACTTTTGACTTAGGTCGATCAATAGAGAGAGGAGCAATAAAACAACAGAATTGCTAGATTATACTCTAAAAGGCAAGGTGTAAATAAGAACTTCATTGAATTTTTCAGCTCTCCAACATCTTTTTTAATTTACATGCAAGCCTGCTCTGGGACTTTTGCACATTCACCTCCCAGCCTAGTTCTTCTCAGGGAAAATTTCATCTATGAAAGTAGTAAACATCCACTCATCCTCATATCCTTTGTATTCCACCTGGGCTGTTCTAATCATTGTCTCAGAAGAAAGAAAACACCCCATCACCAAGCCTTTGTTCATGCTGTGTGTTCCTCTCTCCCTCCTGCCTGTCCCTAGGTTGAGAAACCCTTCTGCAACATTTCCTGAATGAATCCTGCCTATACTTCAACTCAAATACCCCGCCTCCCTGTTGCCTTAACTACTCAGGCCAAGAAAGTCTCGGCTTCCTTTGAACTGCTAATGCATTTACTGTCTGTGCCATTTCTTTGGAACTAAGTATGTCACACGGTTTGACTAGCAGTTATTTACCATATTTACTGGTGTAGGTATTACCACCCCAAGTAATAAGTTCACAGGGTAGGAATATGCTTCACACATCACTGTGTGTATTCTGACAACTGTACCTTGTTCACTGGTTAATGGCTTTTTAAACAATATGCTAAATTTGCTAATAGAAGTACCTCCCGCCCCTTCCCAGTAGTATCTTGAGACATCATTTGAACATAAGAGACCTCTTTAACATAACATAATAAAATTAAAAAAATAAATAAAAAGAGACCTCTTTAAACAAAAACAATGGATTCAGGCTAGGAGACAGAGGACCTGCATTTTTGTCCTTTTGGCCCAGCCACAAACTTGGCATGTGAATTTCACAAGGCAGGTGACGTTTTAGTTTCTTCCACTGCAGGGAGACAATAATAGCCACTGTGTCAATTTTAAAGAACTGTGAGGATTAGATGAGATAATGAATGTAAAATTGCTTTTAAAAAACTGCCAAACACTCCATAACTATAAGGTATTATTATCTACTGGTAATCAATGAAACTGTTATACAACAAAAAGTGGTATATTTTGGTATATTTAGGAAGTAATTTGTTGTTGTTGCAGCAAATTTTAGCTGTATTTCAGTAAAATACTAGCTAAAATAAGGTAATTCCCAAAGTGCAATAAGTAGAACTATAAAATGTTCATGAGAAGGCATTTTTGTCAGACCGTGTGCACATATTCCTCAACAGGGCTACTGGTCTCCCTGTATTTATGCTTCCTCTACCACAGTCTGTGTTGAACACAGCAGCTAAAGTGATCCTTTTATTTATTTTTAAAAATTTTTTAGAGTTATCCTTGTAAAGCTAAATCAGACCATGTCATTTTCCTGCCTAAAACCTCCAAGGGCTTCCCAGCTCAACACAAAATGCAGCCCTCACAATAGTCTATGAGGCCATCTCTGAGCTGGGCCCCATTAGCCCTGTGCTCACACCCTTCCTATTCCTTTCTCTGCCCAGTCTGCTTCAATTCACTGGCCTCCTTGCTAGACATGCTCCTGCTTTGGGGTTCCATATCCCTGGAATACTCTGCTCCCCTATATATGCATAGCTTGCTCCTTCATTTCTTTTCTTTTTTTTTTTTTTAAGATTTTATTTATTTATTTGAGAAAGAGAGAGAATGAGAGACAGAGAGCATGAGAGGGAGGAGGGTCAGAGGGAGCAGCAGACTCCCTGCCGAGCAGGGATCCCGATGTGGGACTTGATCCCGGGACTCCAGGATCATGACCTGAGCCGAAGGCAGTCGCTCAACCAACTGAGCCACCCAGGCGCCCCTCCTTCATTTCTTTTAGGTTCTATTCAAATGTAATCTTGATAAGAGAAGGCTTCCCCAGTCACCCAGTAGGAACAGCAATACCTTCCCACCACAGATGTCTATATAAATCTGTTGGCTCAGTAGTCCACTCTTGAAGGGAACCTCCACAAATGCAGGGACTTATCTGTTTTGTTCACTACTATATCTAGAATGGTGTCTGGTAGTGACAAGAAACCATATTTGTTGAACAAATGGTTAATGAATGATATCTCTTCTAAACAGATGGGGAAATGTGCTCATCCAGAGAATTTGACCCGAGAAGGAGCTGAATCTTCCCCACTTAATGGCATATACTTCAGAATGAATACAGTTCACTATTAATGAACACATTTTTAAATGACATTTTTCATTCTGGAAAGAATCCATAGTCATTCAAAAACATGTATTCAACAAGTATTTACTGACACCTTAGTTAGTATGTGCCAGATATAATGGTAGGTGATGTGGAGAGAAACATGAGTAAGACCCTGTCTCTGCCCTTCAGGCAAATGCAGGCCAGGGACCTGCTGGCATATTTTTTTTTTTTAACCAAAATACAGCACATGAGATTTCAGGATAACAACACTGGTTACGTATAATTGAAATGGAATTCTCTTCCTGAATAATTGGCATGCTTCCTATAATAAAAACAATGAGAATTATGCAACTAAAGAGCTTCCCAAACTTGGCTGTGCATTTAAAAACAACAAAAACCAAACCAAAACAAAAACCAAAAGCCAACTTTTGAGTTCCACCTCAGATCTACTGAATTAGAAGCCAATCTAACAAAGCCTGGTCTTCAGACCAGCATTTAGAAAAGACTAACATAACTTCCTGTATTGCTTCTGATTTAACTACTGTCCAGTTAAAAATATCTGAAGAGAAATTTCTTCTCTTATTTTACTTTTTAAAATCAATTTATTCATTTAAAACACCAATTTTATTGCAATCATTTTGAATGTATAGTTTGATGAGTCTGACAAATGTATAACATCCATGTATCCACACCACAATCAAGATATGAAACATGTATGTGACCCCAGAAAGTTCTCTGTGCCCTTTCATAGTCAACTCCTCCCTGACCTCTGGCAACCACTGACAAGTTTCTGTTTTTGCCTTTTCTACATACATTATGAATCCTATAATAATTGGTGAGTGTTTAGATGGTATATCTACCATTAATATTCAAAGTTGATATGCTGAAGACAGTACG